TTTCATTTGATCGCTCATATATATATATATATATATATATATATATATATATATATATAGGAGCGATCAAATGAAAACCGTCCCATTTATGTAAATCATGTAAACCAATCTCATCCATCCATTTTCTTGATCAATGGTCAAGATTAGTTTAGTTTATTTTAGAAAATTAATATATATATATATATATATATTAAAAAATTATTTTATAATAGCGAGAAGGGCAAGATGGTAAACCCAACCACATCTTCATCATGCACCCTATTATGGTAAATTCCTCAGCCTATTCATCATGCACCATGTTTCACTTGTCCAATGAGATTGTCACGCACCCATTTCATCATGCACCCATTTCATCATGCACCCATTTCATAATCATTTTCACTTACTCCATTCACCAATTTCACCAATTTCACCAATTTCATCATGTACCCATTTCATAATCAATTTTCACTTGCTCCATGCACCAATTTCACCATTATAAAACCGGTTTCATGCATATTTTTTTTCTATTACTGATTTCATAGATTTATTAATCTAATAACTTATAACTTTCATGAATCTTGACAATAATAAACCAAGACACAATATAACAAAATCCAATTTTTAATATTATAATTTAATTAAATATTTAAATGTTACCCTTTATAAAATTTCATTTATTATGTTACCTTAATTAAGATTTATTAATAACCTCCATATTTAATAGAAAACAATGCAAATGACCAATATACTTTTAATGCTTAAATTTAATTAGAAAAAAATGGAATTTTCTTATTGGTATAAATTAGTTTACACGGTTTCTAAGAATCGCACGGTTTTCATTTGAATGTGCCTATATATATAGGAGCGATCAAATGAAAACCACCCTCATTTGTACAAACCGTACAAACCACCCACATACGTCGATTTCATTGTTTAATCTTATGAAATTTTTTCATGAAATTGTTTAATCTTATGAAATTGTTTCATATAATACTTTTTTTTCGATGAATTTGTTTCATATATAGTTATGAAATTGTTTCATATAATATTTAATGAAATTTTAATGAAACT